CTTTTTAGTCTAGGAGAGAGCTTTCCCGGGTTGGAGAGGCTCTAAAGCTTGGAGCTGGAACAAAACGACAAGAATTCATTTGGGTAGTACGCAACAACTTAGAGTTGAAACTCTGAGGATGGATAATATCTCAGAATATTGTGCTGGCCTCAGAGAATATCTATTCATAATGCATGTATTTGTTATTTCTCTTAGAAAACCCTGCTTCAGGAATACACAAAAACGTGACTGGTAGAGCTGCAGTATTAACGTTCCCTTGCAAACTTCCTTATTTACAAATTTAACGATTTTTAAAAGTCTTTAGTATTTAAATATGTATTTTAGGATATAACAACAAAGTTCTTATTTACTTAAAAAAGATTCATGACAAAATCTCCACATAGGAGATAGGCGGTTCTAAATTTGTGATTACATGAGCTTCTGTTTAAATTTTCTGTTTACTATCTTCTATATACAGAGATATAATATATATAATATGTATTTATTTGTATAAAATATTTGTATGAAATATATATACGAATATTCTATAAGCTGAATATTTGAGAGCAAGTATAAACTAATTGTAATATATTTTACACGTGAAAGTAGCATGAGAAAATTATTTTTTAACCATTTTAACTGCAATATAGGTAATGGCCCCTTAGGTGTAGGTTCTGTGGCTGCCGTGAATGACCCCATAGTCAGACATTCTTTAGAAACGAGCTTTGAATAAAAGTTGGTAAAGTCCCTTTCATTTAGACCATTGGAATAAAATATATGACTTTATTGTCCAGCCATGTTTACCTGTCAAATGAAATATATTTATTTGTAAAGCAAAAAACAAAGAGCCTCTCTCAGCATGTACCGTTTCCACCTAGGTTTGTAGAAAAGGGGACCGTGCTGAAATACGCTGAGCTGAAGTACAGGCTGGTCAGTTTCGGTAATCAGGAGGGAGGGTGCCCGGCGTATTGTAACATTTCACGTGGCGTTTTTCAGGAGATGGCTGCAATCAGTCTTCTCACATATGGTTTGAAAAAGGCTTGTCTCGCTGGCAAGCAAACTGTTATTTAAGTACACAATCCACTCTACTACTGAAACAGTTTTGCCAAACTTATCCAAGTATTCTCACATGCTTAAAGATGGTATAAATATCGTTTATTGCTAGCAGTTTTCTTCAGACTATACGGAATGTCTTCCTGCTGCCTGATCTAAGTGTCCCAGTTTACATTATGGCCTTTACTGCCTCTGTTTGATGGAGTGATCAGTAAAAATTTAATGACACTATAAAATAATAAAAATGTCATTAATTTACCACGGATCTTGGATGCAGTGGTTGTAAAGTTACATTAATAAACAGAATATTTTTTACAACAAAAAGCATTGTTACGTGGGAACGTATAAATAACACACATAAATTTAAGAGCAATTTTACTGTTAGCACACACATTATTATGGAATAGCCAATAAGTGTATAAAACATAGTATATAAAATTTTATTAAAATATACTGTGCACATCAAAAATTCAGCTTTTATCTAAGTGCAAAGAAAAGCCATTATTGCGTGCTTACTGTTTCATTGCTGCTCTTTCCCCATATCACCATTTCACATTTGTTGCCAGTAAGAGGAAGTTGATTCTTTTTTTCCTAGATAGAAACAAACCTCTGTTCTTTTACTTACCCCAAATCGATTCTCTCTCTCCACTGATGCAAAGACAAAATTGATCAATCTTGCCATGGTAGGGAAGGAAAAGTTGCTAATTTAATGCAAAGTTAAAAATAATGCCTGAGGAGTTGAATGGTTTGTTCAGTGACTCTGGAAATAAGGGATAATAATGCAGCAGTCTATCTGTCATCACTGAGGCTGCCCCATCATTGACTCTGATAATATGTGAAGATGATGGATGCCACCATCTTGTGGCTTGTAACATTTAACATTCATCAGCTCTCACTAAAGGGGGCTTTATCATTTAAATATCTTTATTTAATATGCAACATCTATCTCATACATCATAATTTCAAAGCACTTAGAGAGCCAACAGTCCTACAACACAGCAGAGCTGACTTTAATTTTTTTCAATAACTTTTATATTGCTTGCGTGTTTGTGACTGACAATGCATAAGTAAGTGTGTGATCACATTGTTGCATGTAAAAAGCACATTTCACTGTCAACATGAAGATTGGGGCATTTTCCTGAGGGGTTGAGATATTTTGTGATTAAACTATTGTGATATTTTGCTTATATCCCCAAAATATCTTAACTGGGAGTTTTGTACATCGTGAGAGCTACTGCAAGTGCGTGGAAAAATTTGGAGTCAAGAACTTGCCACCCACAGTCTGTATTTGTTCCATATAGGGGCATACCCACTGGCACTTAACGGCCAGAAGTTGAAGCGTCTCGGAACTAAAGAACCTTTGAACTTCTCTCTGTGCCCATGTCCACATCCTGTATTTACTAGGCTCATGTTCAACCTCACTGGTAAAATCTTTGCTTAGCTCAGCTTCCCAGAGCTAACTTGTAGACATCAGGCCCTCTTATCTTATGGTTATGTGGCTGGCAAATAAATATTCTGAGCTATTCTTTGAAGAAAAGAAGGAAATCTTCTGGGAGACTAGGTAGAAATTTATATGAAAGGGCATGGCTTTGCAGGGTCCTTCTTTAATCTCAAACACAAGTGCTTAATATGACCAAATATAAAATGCAGCCCACTGCCCCAAATAATTTTTATCATTGATTTATTTTCTGCTTATTTAACAAGTGTTTCGTGGGATATTTTTCCTTGACTTCTACTCTGTCAAAATATTGATATTTTATAAGGAAAGTATCTGCAAAAGAATTTTTTTCAATGAAGTCAGAAAATGTATGACTTCAAAGACACTGTGAATGTGTTGTTGAATGTTCTGAATGTTTTTTGTTATGATTAAAAACAAGCTGATACTACTGAATTGTGAGTGCACTTCATTTTTTATAAAAGAAAAGATATTATCATCATGTAAGCTTTGTTGTCTTAGGATTTTACAAAGCATGGCATGTAATTTTCCCTCTTCTCCTTCCTTGTCAAAATATTGATATTCTTTCAGGAACTTTATTTTTTTTTTTACTGAGAATATTTTCCGGTAAAATCAAAGAGAATGAATGACTAGAAAGATACTTGAAATATGCATATTGATAGGTAGCACGGTCTGTTGATTTTCAGAGAAAGTTGTTTTTCCCCCCATGAAAATACAGTTAAAGGTTGTTCTTCCAAGAAGATTGCAGGTGTCACATCAAAACCCCTTTTGCATTTAACATAGAGGGAAGCATTCACATGCAAATATTTGAAATGCGACACAATGTGATAAAACAAAGGTTGAATATTTTGCTTTCCCTGGTACTACTCATCTTCAGTTTAATTCTTTTTCTTTACATCGTGACAACCAAAAGTGCTACTCAAAAATAGAAATCGCCTGATTAAAAGCAGCTGTCCCCCCGCCCCGACAATGTGTGAAACTCCCACATGGCTTGTGGTTGCTTTCCGTTGTGGCCTGCGTCTGGGTTAATTTGTTCTTGTGCAGCCGAGTTTTCACATAAGAAGATATTGGGGAACCATACCTAATTTGCTTTTTATTTTCGTTCTGTTTTTTATAAGAGTCATATTTCAGACATTTCCCCACATACTGCTATTGTAACTAGTTAGTATTACCCAGTTGAGGAAATTTGTGATTATCATTTTGTGGCAAATCTTTCATAGAAATGGTGCTAGATTCAATCAAGGTTTATGCTGTGTTTTCTTCCAACACAGATTTCAACATATTCCATGATGAAGGGGAACTGGAAGGCTTCCTGCACGATTTGACTGATGGGAATTAATTATAGAAATATAATGAGATTCAAAAATAATCATATTAGAAAGCACAAATGTAGTGAGATTGTACAAATGAGACACAGCCTCTATCAAGTAATTGTATGTTTGCTCTTTAAGAATATTTCCAAGTTTCTAAACATCTTACAGAAGAGAATACTTAGAGTGTTTCCATCTAATGCCGAACATGCTCAGTACAGAACTAGGTCATTGAACAATAGACTGAACAGCAATCAGCACTCTACTGCTGCATAATGCATTAAGTATAACATGCAGAAACCATTCCCGGAGCTGGAAGCTGCTATTTCATGTCTGTAAATTCAAGCTGACATGACATTTAATATTGTTTCATAGTAATGAACAACAAGGTTTCATTCATTCATAAGCACAACACAAAACCAAGTTTGAGTCTAGAGAGTAGCAAAGAGGCGAAAAGGGGACACGCACTGTGTTTCTGCAGACAAGAACACCGTATTAATGCTGGTCAGTGAGCCCTCTGCTACTGCTCCCGAGAGCCGCAGAAGGAGAGTTCATTGTGATACTTCAGACGCCTGCTCCTAGAAGAACTGGCTAACAAGTAAAACATCGTTGGGTTTCCCTTCTATAGCAGCAGGCGTCTTTAACTTTCCTGACTCAATGGCTGGCTAGGAGTAAAGTCCTCCTTTTCACTTCCCAGGAAATTACAGTTGAAACTCCTAGGCAAAATAATAGTATCAATGCCATCATCTCGTCTGCCTGCTTTGAAATATTTGTTTTTGAAGTCCTCTTGCATAAAATTCTGCAAACTATGGTTTCTAAATGGGAAAATTCTTCTCCCATTAAGTAGCAGTATATTTTAATAGGAACTGCTCTTTCGGGTTTTGCACTTTTGGCTCAAACCTTTCAATTGCATTCCTTTCAGATTGCTGGAGCAAACCCAACAGAAAGAAGATGTGCAGTACAGCCCTGGCAGGTTTCCTGTCACAGGTTTCCTTTCTTTACAGGTACTATGGTCTAAATGCTGTCGGCACTGTCAGTACCACAGTGAGGCTTTGGCAGAATCTTCCTGGTTTTCTGAGCTCAAGTTGGTCAGAAATGATATTTGTAAATCCAAATTTTGCCCATTAAGCAAGATAGAAACTGGAAGGAAAAAGTGGCTGCTTTGGAAGCTAGAATAAGCCTCTGATTATTCTTTCCTCTAGGAAAGAACACGCTTTGAGAATTTGGGGCCCCAGTTAACAGGAAAGTCAAGTGAAGATGGAAAGCTGGGCCCAGGTGTCATCGATCTTACTCGGCCAGAAGATGCAGAAGGTGAGTGGCTTTTCTGTAGCTCTTTTCTGCTGCTCTGGATGTTTCTGAAGGTGCGTCTGAGTTAGATGTAGGATCTTTATGGTCTTTCTTGGGAGTACCAGCTTGATTTCCTTGGCAAAGTAGAGGAAATGTTAGTCTTCATTATATGTTATGGCTGAGGACTTTGAGATGCAGCTAGATCCCATATTACTGAACACACAGTAATCCAAGTACTTCAAGGTGCCATTTTAAAGTTTTGAAGTAAAAAGACCCTCTGCATTCCAATGAACAACAGAATTCTGTGTTTCATCCGCCTCACTGCATTCTTATTAAAAAAGGACAAATACAAAGGAGAGTTTTTTGAACCCCAAATCAAGTGATTCCCAGGTGCAATCAAACCATTTTGGGAATGAAATGATGGTTTGCAGCAGATCTAGCATAAAATTAATAATTGCTTGGGCAAGGCCCAGCCTGTGTCTGGGCACTAACCATTCCTAAAGTCTCTGGAAAGTCTGGATGGAAGGACCAGCTTCACTCTCACTGTGTTTACCACAGTACTCTCAATGCCTGTCCTCTTCTCTTCCCTTTTTGTTTGTTTGTTTTAAATGCACAAGCAGCAAATCAGCAGAAATTGCTCCCCAGAGGCGGGGTACAATTTATGAGTTAGGTCAGCACTTCAGGAGTAATGTTGCCTGGTTATTTACTGTGTCATCACAGAGTAGGGACTGGTTTTCCCGTTAGCTGTTCCTTTGGCAGAAACCCTCCCACCAGTCAGAGAAGATTAATTTGTTCTCTTCAGAGTAACATAATACTTCACCCATCTTGGGTCCCAGCTAAAGTCCTTCTTTACGCTGAGGGAAAAAATCTTACTATTATCCCTTTTAAAGGCAGATTTCTTTGAGGACCCTAATCCCTTGAAAACACACGAAGACATTTCACAGCAGCATCTGAACTATGCATCGCTTCTAGTGACAGCTTGGGGCCGTCCCAGGCAGTTCAGAAATCCCTGGTATGAGCACTAAGAGCCGGGTAGTATCAGACATTAGGAAGCACTTCAGAGAGTTTCCAGAAGGCAGATTTTTCATACCAGTAGGAGAGACTAATGTTTAATGTTAGTACGGGGGACAAGGTGTTAAAATAAATTCTGACCGGTATGTATGAAGGGAGGGAGAAGGAGAGAAAGGAAGGAAATGGAAGAGAAGAGGAAGAACAAAAGGAAGAGGAGGAGGAGGAAAGGAGGATAAATAGGAGTCAAACCCAGAAGTATATGCACTGTCTTCCATGAGGAATGTCTACAAGGGCACACTGACGGTGACATTTTTAGAGGCACTTTGAAGTGCAGGCTGTCCTTCCGGTGAGGACTGAGGTTCTGTGGCTTAGGGAGCCAGTTACTCAGGTCTGGCCCCTCTCACTTCTGTTGGAAGACTTTCCTGGAGAGAACCTGTCTTTGCCTGTATACAATGAAGTTATACTTTTCATCACTTTGCAGTATTCAGTCTGGTCATTGTGCTATAGACTAGGAGTCACAGAGTCCTGTCAACCTTACTGCTGTTCTAACACAGTGTTCTTAGTCTGGCATTCATCTTTCTTCATTTGGTTTCTTAACTATATAATGGGTATAAATGTAGTCTTTTGCCTCTCAGTAATACTAATAATCTAGTTGATATCATGTGCTTGGTAAGTTAAAAATAATGATCAGAGTTATTAACTGTTGTAAAAGGAAAAAATGAAAAACTTAATTGTAGAGAAAAGTATTGTATAGAAATATCTTTGGAAATTTTATTCAATACCCAGATTGTCTGGATTCAAACCAATTTCCTGGTTACTCTGTTATTTTAGCAAACATTTATTAAGCATTTATATGCCAGAGAATGTGCTAAGCTTTTTACACATATTTTCTCACTTAAACCTTATACAACTCTGGAAAGAAGATATTATTTTTCTTTCCACTTTACAGATGAGAAAATTAAGGCTGAGAGTAATTAAGTAACATGCCACAGGTCACACAGCTAGTACGAGTGGAGCTGAGCGTTGATCCTAGGCAGCCTGGCTCTGAAATATGGTGGTATACTGCATGCCCTGTATATGTAGATAAATATGTGCTGCCTTCATTTTTCTGAACAAACTTCTTGTGACCTTCCTCAGTATGGCCCATTTCCTCTCCCCTAAATATAGCAAGTCATACCATACACCAGCGCTCGTGTTACACTGTCACACATAGCAGCAGTGCCTGATGAGTGTAACAGTAGAAGGCTGTGGTGGCCCAGGAGCTTAAGGAGCGTGTGAAAACCTCCCTCCAGAAGCTTGCCCAGAGTTGCCATTGAGACCTCGTGTGCTTTTGGGGGACCATGAGTTCATGAATGGAATCAAGTTACCTGCTCTGGTACCGCAGAAGAGCAATGCCTTTGTGAGGACTGCTGGGATGGGTAGTAGCCCATTGCTGACTTCGGGATATTTCCTGGCATCTGTTCAAGTGTGAGCTGATTGCAAAGCCTGCTGGAGTTACAGTTCATATTAAAGTCAAAGTAGATAACAGGTACACGTAATACTTTCTCCACTTTGCTCCTTCGTATTTCCTTTAACAGGAGGAGTAAGAAGAGACTGAAGTGAAAGAATAACTAAAAAATTTATGAACTCCTTCAGTCAGTTTGTGGCCAAAAAAACCCCAACAACCAAAAAACAAACTTTTCTTGAGTGCCTACTGTGTGCCAGCCCCTGACCTATACACTGGATAAACCAAGGGAAGGAAAACAGATATGTTCCTGGCCTCTGGGAGATTAAAGTCTAGTGAAGGAAGACATAAGATTAAGAGGGAAATGCATACATACACCTACAGACAGACAAACAGTAACATAATTACCACTGAGAAAAGTGCTAAAAAGATCAAGACTTCTTTGTGCCCCACAGAGATTCAGAGTGAAAGTGGCTTAGGTCAGCTCAGTTGACAGGTGAGTTCTGTGGCTCTAGCCCAGGATGTCATCCCTTCTCAGACCATCCATGATCATCTCCATGCTGCCTCTGGCTTTGGACAGCAATTTAAAATTTTTTTTCCAGCTTTATTGAGGTATGATTGATATATAAAATTGTGTAAATTCAAGGTGTACAGTGTGATGATTTGATACACGTATATATTGGGAACTGATTACCCCAATAGGGTTAGTTAACACCTCTATCACTTCACATAATTACTTTTTTTGTGAGTGTGAGAAAATTTAAGATCTACTCTCTTAGCAACTTTCAAGTATGTAAAGCAGTACTGTTAACTATAGTCATCATGCTGTGCATTAGATCCCCAGAGTTTATTCATCTTATAACTGGAGGGTTGTACCCTTTGACCAACATCTCCACATTTCCCCCATCCCCTAGTCCCTGGCAACCACCATTCTACTCTCTGTTTCTGTGAATTTGGCCTTTTTAGATTCCACATGTAAGTGAGATCATACAATATTTGTTTTTCTCTGTCAGACATATTTCACTTAGCATAATGCCTTCAAGGTCTGTCCATGTTGTTGCAAATGGCCAGATTTCCTTCTTTTTATGGATGAATAATATTCCATCGTGTGTGTGTGCATGTGTGTGTATGTGTGTGTGTATCACATTTTCTTTATCCATTCGTCTGTCTGTGTATACTTAGGTTGTTTCCACGTCTCGGCTATTGTGAATAAGGCAGAGCAGCAATTTTAAGGGGCTGTGCCCTCCCTCCACTTCTACCCCATTCCCCTGAAGTGACCAAAATAAGTCAGCCTAGGAGATGAGGCCCTATTCCAGCCAGGCTTCCCAGGAAAATGTCTGCCTGTCATGAAAACACCATTATTACTTAGCAAGCAGCTTGTAGCCCTGCTTCATAGCTCTGAGCATGGAAGTGGCAAGGCAGAGGTCACCAAAAGAGGCAGCTGTGCATGTGTATTAGCCACTCATCAAAATCAAATGACAAAACCATAAGCTAGGAAAACAGAAATTAAAAATATAAAAGGCAAATGCCTTCAAAATTTTATTTTTAAAGTCCAGCTGTTATTTGGCTTGAATATGACAAGACAGCATTTTTTGTTCACCATGATATTTATAAAACTACAAATTCATTGGTGCTGGGGGCTTAGGAAACATGTTTAAGGTCTTGTTATCCTCTGAAGCAGTTGAAGGCTTAATGTGTACTGAGCACACGAAATCTGTTAGCTCCCGGGTGGGACATGTGAGGAAGAGAGACTCAATTAGTTAAGTCTGTCACCATTTATTAAGAATGACAAACAGCTGTTTAACTTTTTATGGACTTTTCATGTGGCATTTCCCCTCTCCTGTTCCTCTTAGGCAAGAGAGCAATTCTTATCAAGAGTGCAGCTCTCCCCCTGTCGAAGCTGTGAAGCATCATAGAAAGGGCCTGCTTATTGGGAGATTTGGGTTAAAGCTCTTTTGCTAAAAGATGGCAAAACAAATGACTAATGCCTTGGGGCTTAAATTTCTTTATCTTTAAAAAGAGGTATGTTGGATTCTATTATCTCTAAGGTCCCCTCCAAATCCAAGATTATTATTAGGGTCCTTGTAAAACACAGAGTGTGTTTCTTATAAGGAAGGTTATCTGTCCCCAACAGTTTCCACCTAGTTTTCTTCAGAGAAATAGAAGAGGTGACCAGTACCTTCGAGAGTTGATTTTTGCCACTTGCTGAATCAAGGTTTCAAGTGCCTTGAGCTTTTCTTTTTATTAATGAGAAGATCTCTTTGGTAGTGTTTCCCAATTACATTTCGCAGATGTGCCTGCCCCTCCTTTTTCTTTCTCCTCCTTCTCTTCCCCCAGCAACTAGCACTGTGGTTTGCCTTCTGTTTTATATTCTTTCCATCCTATTTCTTCTCTCTTTCACACCTGGGGTCTCTAAAGAGATACTTTCCTTTTTTTCTGTTTTGCAGAATAATTTAAGTAAGAAAACATTCTTCTAACACCTCTTTTAATTGTCAAATTCAGTTATTGTATCTCAGCCAGAGAGGAAGGCTGCACCTCATTTTGATGTGGAGAATAGTGGAATACGAGC